AACCCCGTAACAATATGCGTTTTGTACTGCTGTTACACAGCACAAAACGCATAATAAAAATGGAGTTATAACACTGCTACTTAGAGTTACTTCAGTTTTATTTATGAGCAAACCGGGCTTTTGCAGCACTGAGCCTGTGCTGCTGGGGGAACGAAATACCCATCGCCGCTCTCCCCTGGACCCGCCTATGTTTATGTTAAGCGGACGTACTCAGAAGCGATTTTTGTGTTTTTTAATTTACCAACAGTAACCATCACCCAGCAAAACTGCCCATGGTTCCCATTTCTGGGAGATTTTTGACAGTAAAATGAGATGGCCTGGTTCTTCCCCAACAGTTCTGCACCAAAACGAATGCATCAGGATGAATTTAAGGGAGTGGCGACTAGTAATCCATCACGCCCGCCAACGTATCGACAGTACGATCAAGGGTTTTCTCAAGGAAGGTGCTGCCCAAACAATTAGGTGCCAGTTTTGGGAAATTTTCGAACAGCACAACTGGGAAATTCTTGCCAATGATTGATAATCAGTAGCAATTGAAAAAAATAACAGAATTAAGATAGAACGACCAAAAAAAAACCAGGATGATTTTTTTAATTATTGATTGCACATTACAGAAAACAAATGGACCGAGAAAGCATACGACCGAAGGATACTTGTCGTGTCTCTTCCTGACCATATAGTCAATCATCAGATACAAGCAGCGTGCGGGATTTCATTGTGATTGCGCGAGAAAGTAAAATCCAATGGGCAGGACAAATCGATCGCCCCGCCGACAACCAGTAAACTTCATGTATTCATGAGGAAGTAAGCGGCCACTAGGGAAACTTCTGTAGACGCACGCATGTACGTTCACAGGAGGTGAGTACAAACTAAGGCCACGTGGTAGGTGAAACTGTGTTCTGCGTGTGGGAGTATCTCAAATTGCAGCACTGTGTTATGCTCAGTTTGAGTGGATAGGACCAAAAACAGAGGTGGTGCCATTTGGACGGTGTTATGGTCAAAAGAACTCGATATGCCGCCTCCATTCACCTGGAGTACCCCACTGCTTTGACGCATCGACTTCGACCCTTCAGCATTTCTGTGTCATCGAGCAAGCAAGACTCATCAGCGCGTCAGACTTCCTCAAAAGATGAACACACTGCAAGTGCGCCCATAAAATATTAATATCAAAAGACCCAAGGAACTAAGTCCTGAAAAAAATTAATCCGCTGCCAGGAAGCGACGAACAGAGGAAAGAATGAAGAGGGAGGCTGACTGTAATATAACAATAGCAGCTTTGTATTATCGGTGAGACCGGATGCACGCGACAACTGATTAAATTACAGATCAGCTGAAGTGTCGTCGTCGTCGTCGTCACTGTCATCGCTGCAGATATGTAAAAGAGGGAGAAAAAAAATTCCAACAATCCATGGAGAGAAAACATTTGACAGTTTGTGTAACATTGTCACTGTCGCTGTCCTCGCCTAAAAGGAGCGCTGGGGGACAAAAAAGCGGAGAAATACCTGCTCCTCCGAAACACATCCGGCAATAAATTACCGCCCAGATGCAATGCTATTCTC